GCTGCAGCTCCCTACGGCACTCCGGCTGCACCCTACGTTCTACGTTGGCCAACTGCGACGATACCATCCCGCTGCCATTCCCGGCGGCGCCGATGACCACGCCCAAGTCGATCATGACGCTGCGCCATCGCAGCGTCAGCCCGAGGTTCACGCATCTGCATTCCAGCGCGACGGTCCTGCTCCCCTAGTGGACGCTGCTGGGAACCAGCGTCACATTGTCGAAGCCATTCTCAACCACGACGACCACCGAGATGCACCGCAGCGCGCACGCACGGATCGTGGCACTCGTCGCCGCGATGGAGAGATACATTCGCACCGCCGGTATCGGGTTCGATGGCTTGGCCCGATGGACGACAGCTGGGAGCCACGCGAGGTCCTACTCGCAGATGTCCCCGACTGCGTGGCGGCGTACGAGACGTCGCTTGCAGAGGGCGCGGCGGCGAGCCGTGCCTAACTCAACGAGTGCCTCGCAAGAGCGGACAGCCCAGCGGCGATGCTCGACTTCAGACGACGGACGACCTTCGGTGTTCCAGGATTCGCGGCGACCTGACCCACGGTGGAGTCACGGTGCGACGAACTCGCTTCAAGCCATGCCAGCGCCGGACCAGCTGCACCAAGATCGCTCCGTTGAAGCCCACGCTGCTGCTGCGGTCGCGCAGCAGCTGGCCCTTGATGACGTCCGAGACACTGCTGCGCTGCTTCACTCACTTCGCGCGCGCTGTCGGCCCGCGCCTGCCAAGTAGCGTCACGTCCGCCTCGCGAAGCTCTGCAGTTCCTTTCTAGAGCTTAGATATGTGTATGTTCCAATCTTGAGTAGGGGGTGGTGTGACAGGCCACTGTCACACAGGCGCCACTGCGTGTGCGCGGTGGCCAATCAGAGCCCACTATAGGTTTAATGGCTGGGACGGTCTCGGCACTTAATACCAGAGTTCAATTTGCCTACTACTTCCTCTGCTTGTGTAAGCACGTAATGGGATGCAGTTAGCCCGTTACATCGTCGGTCTCAACTGTCTCGACTACAGCAGTTCTGGAAACTACGGTGACAAGCTCCTCGTCTTTTGCTGAGGACACGACTCCAACCACGACTTCTCTCCTGCCCAATTGGGTGGGATCGGTTGACCCCTCGGATGACGCATGCTACCGCAAGACGTACGTCTCACGAACCTGCTCAACGGGCTACGCCTTCGACAAAATCGCTACGTGCTGGGCGCGGTGTCCACTGAACTACCCCGTGTAGTGTGGCATGGAGTGAATCCCCCAAAACGACGACTGTGCGCTGGAGGTCGTCACGAAGGTTCAGTCGGTCGCTACGGTGGCGCTTAACGCGGCCACCTCGGGGGTGTTCGGACAGCTCAGCTCGGCTAGCGCTGCGGTGCAACAAGGCGTCAAGTGCGGACAAAAGCTCTTTGCTGTGGTGAAGGACGTCGTGACCTACGCGGAGAAGCTGCAGACCAGTTTCCCTAATGGCACCGAGGAGCAGATCATCTCACTCCTGAACAACTCGGATATCGTCATCAAGGACCTCCCCACGGCCGTGAGCGTCTGTCTGGGTCTAGACGTGCCCACCGACTATTTGAACCTGGCCTCTGAAGTCGTCAGTGTCGTGGACAAAGTGTTTACTTAAGCGGTGGAGAAAGGGTCCACATTGCTCAGTGTTGACACTTTCATGTCCTTCATCAGTGAAGTGGGTGCCGGCAGTTCAGTGGAAGCGCTTAACACAGACGACACGACTACGTTGGAGAAACTTATTGCGGAGGGTGAGACCTGCGGGACCGACTTGCAGTCCGTTATCAATAAAGTGACGCAGGCCGTTGCCGATATCAAGTCAGCGGACGCTACGTCCACCGCCAGTGCGATCCGTCTGGCTCTGAGCGACACTGCTCTCTTTCTTACGGAGATCCCTACGGTGACCAACAACTGTATCCAGAACATCACAAGCACAAGCGACGCGTACACTGTGCGTGACAAGCTTCGGAAAGCCCTGAGCGTGATCACGGACAACCTCATCGACTCTTCTAGTGACGCCAAGGGCAACGCTCTCTCGAAGGCCGAGTACATCCTCGAGGCGGCCGACATGGGGCTGGACGTCATCGCCATGTTCGACCCCACGGGCATTGCTCGAGGAGTCCATCCAGCAGTGTGTGGTCCCACCTCGTTCATCGGGGAAATCGACGATGGATCACTTGCTGATGCTCTGGCGCTTGTAGCGGACGGTGCCGCCTTCGCAGGCAGCTCCGGCACCTGGACGCACGCAGGAGACGGCGCAGTCAACGTCGTCTTGGAGAGCTCGGACACGAAGGACGTGACGGTGGAGATCCACTCGGCTGGTGAGATCATCGACTCTGTCAAGGTCAAGAGGGGCGAGACTGTGACTTGGAACTCGACGGTGTCGGCGCTGCAGGACAATACCATGTACTTCGACCGGTAGCGTCCTGGTCTCCTTGGCCTCCCCGGATCGGGTGGAGGCTCACTGGTGCTGTGGGTCCCGCGATCGCCAGAAGGGGGACACATCGACCTCGTTGCGAAGATCAACGTCAGTTATAAGGGAGGAGCAGGATGTTTAGGCGTACACTTTACGGTGTTGAGCTAGAAGAAATGAATGTAAGGATTGGTGCTGTGCAATTGGAGTGTCGTTGTGGCTTTCGAGCATGCTGCAAGCGCGGTATGCAGCATGCAGCAGAGGTGGAGATGGACTTAGCTCTTAGCATAGACTCACATGATAGTACGCTCCTGAGCTGGTACATGCACACAGCACCACCTTGCTCTTCCCAAGTTTGAGCCCCGCATCTCCCTCACGACTGACAAAATGCGGGGTATCGTCGGCAGGACGACGGTCATGCCAAACAAGACCACCACGACGGCCGGGGCGGTCTTCTCGAAGGTCCATGGCGTGCACGCATGCATGTCGTGCGGCTTTCTCGATGTGTTGTCGCCGCAGCTCTCTGGAGGGACAGCAAAAATTGTGAGACGACAACGAGTCGTTGAACGACAGGTACAGTGTACATGCACATGCACAGCGCAGCATAGCGCGTTGAAGCGAGCGTGTTCGTTCGTGCTGTAAAAGCCAGATATGCAGCCAGAGAGAGAGAGCTCCAACGAGCTAAAAACACGCTGCAGGCTGCTCCTCAGCGTGAGTTGACTGGCGTTAAAGGCGTCCACGTCACAGAAGCACTCAGCAACGATATCGCGGCCGAGGCAAAAGCTGGCAGCGGTTCCGCGCCGATTGGCGGTCGTCGACATTCAACACCACGAGAACCCATCTTCCCAGCGCCGCCGAGAGCCGGCGCCTGTCCGCTTTACAACACCGGAAGCTGTGCCCGCCCGCACAGAGCGCGGCCTCCAGTCGTTGAAGTCTCTTGCTGTTCGCACCGGACGTCAAGGAAACTGCCATGACATCAACCGGGATTGCGTCTTTGCTGCCGACTTGTACAGCTCTTTTCTGCGGGTGAACGGGTGGTCGTCTGGGGGCCAATGTCTGTGATTGAAGGCGGCACTTGGCCAACGTATGGGTTCTCTGGTCGTACACCAGGGCTCACGTGCGACAACGGTCACCAGAGACTTCCGCGTGCCCAGGTGGCGGTGAGGAAGACGCGCTTTGCCTCCGCATGCACCAAACAAGTGTTCTTCACCTTTGAGCAGGAACCTCACCGCAAGGACCGGACTGGACTGGCATGCAGACATGCAGGCAGGCGAAACACGCAGCGAAAAGCAGCGCTGGCCGCCCTGGATACTTGTCACGACGATGACGTCGCCTTGGCCTCTTGTCTACACACATAACGTTCCTGTTTTGACTTGCATGGGTCGGTGCAACTGGAGAGTGGGTCCCTGTTGTTGCAGTCCCGCCACTGCGCCGATACGATGAAGAGCAACTCCAAACCCTGCGAAGCATCGCCCTCCAAACATTTTAATCTGCTTTATTGAAGGTGTGACATTCAAGTTTGTCGACGATAGCTATTATAATACATATCCTGTAAAGCAGCAGAGGGGACCGTCGAGGAGATGGAGATATCCGTAGATCAGCTTGTTTGGGAGAAGTGCCTGGACCACCGGGTTTGGTTGAACATCATGTTCAATCAGGTCCAGCGGACCGACGTGTTACAGTACAGAACCGTCCCCCTTCATCATGAAGGGGTACGGTAACACGTAACATGAAGATCATTTCCTTCTCAGCTGCGAGGCAAGCAATTCCATGCGTCTCGAATAAGGTGAAGTTGAGCGCTTCGCACCGTCCGTGGTCATTAGCAAAGGGCCATTTCACGGGCTCTGCTCCTGTTCGCACCAGCTCTACCAGCAGTATACCGGCCGCTTTTTTTCGGTCGCAACGGCGGTTTGGCACCTCGTCACCAGCCTAGGCAGGGTGACGTCCGGTGAGAGTCCGCCCGCAATTCCTAGTTTTGGTCTGTCTGGTTGGCCCGAAACACCGGGCCAACAAGATGCAGGCAGTTTTGCCACCATCCTGCGGATTGGGGTTGCTCACTTTGAAATTAGCGGTACTGCCCGCAGGAGCGCGGGGAAGAGCCTAAAGGATGTTGAGGACACGGCAGCCACTTCATGCATTCCTGCTGTTGGTGCTCGCTCTGTGCGTGACCCACGCGGCGGCGCTGGACTTGGCCTCATGGAGCGCGACCGCCGGCTCGTCCGGCAGTGAGGACGGCGGCGCACCCGGCACGGTCGCACCTTTCGGTGAGACACCGGCAGGACCGTCCTCACGGTCGGCGAGCAAGGAGGACGAGTCGTTTTTCTCGTACACCGTTGTTCCGGATATCAACCTAAACGTTCCTCTCGACGGCTCGGTGCCTCCCAACTGGGTGGGCCCTTCCATCGGCGACAGCACCGACTCGGCGTGCTACCGCAAGACGCACAAGCAGAACTCGTTGGGCGAGTGCTCGCAGGGTTACAACGCCAGCGGACACCGCTGCTGGGCGCAGTGCCCCATTGCGTACCCCGTGCAGTGCCTGGCCGAGTGCATTCCGCAGAACGACGACTGCACGCTGGAGCTCATGTCCAAGATCACCAACCCGGGCTACGTCGTGTTCAACATCGCCACGGCCGGTGTGTTCAACGCCATCTACAAGTCGTTCAAGACCGTCACGAAGAGCCTCATGTGCGTCTTCAACATCTTCAACATCGCCGAAGGCATCTCCCGCTACATGCGCTTCCGACAGACCATGGCGCCCAACGGCACCAAGGAGGACATCCTCATCGCCGTGTACCAGACCGACATGTTCCTCGTCGACCTGCCGGTGGCCATCACGGCGTGTCTGGGCTACGAAGTGCCGCGATACGCCTACTTCGCAGACGCAGTGGTCACCGCGGCGGAGACTATGGTCAAGCAGCTCATGATCAACCACAACCTCATCATGAGCTCGCTGGACTCGTTCCTGGCCTTCTTCCGGAACTCGACGGTCGGCAACGCGACGGAGCTCGACTCGGTGACGGTGGCCAACCTCACGTCCATGATCGACTCGGGCTCCAGGTGCGGCTTCAACCTCAAGCGCCTCACTGACCGAGTCATCGCTAAGGTGACGGACATTCGGGAGGAGAACCCGCTGGCCACGAACGAAGACATCCGCACCAAGATGAGCAAGACGCCGATTGTGCTGAATGACGTCCCCACGGTCACCAACAATTGCATGGGCGAGCTGCTTAAGACGAAGAAGCCGTACGCCGCCTACCAGACGCGCGACACACTGCGGAAAACTTTTGGAGTGATCATCGACCAACTCATCGACTCGTCGACCACCGACATGGGCAAGGCCATGTCTCGAGAGGAGTACTGGGTCAAGACGGCCAACTTCGGGCTGCAAGGACTCTCGGCCATGGACCCCACGGGCATCGCCTTCATGATGTTCAACTACGTGCAGCCCGTGTGCGGCCCGACCGAGTTTATTGGAGAGATCGACGACGGATCCTGCGAAGACGCACTGGGGCTTACTACAGTTGACGACGCGTTCCGAGGCAGCAAGGGCAAGTGGAAGAAGAAGGGCGACGGGGTCGTCAAGATCAAGTTCGTCAGCTCCGACACGAGGGACGTCAAGGTGCGGATCCATTCAGGCGGCAAGAAGTACGCGTCGGTCAAAGTAAACTCGGGTAGGACTGTCACGTGGAAGTCGACGGTGGAGGAGCTCAAGGACAAGACCCTGTACTTGGACCGCTGGCGTCCCGGTTTCCTGGGTCTGCCCGGAACGGGCGGCGGCTCGCTCCTGCTGTGGATCCCCAGGTCTTCCGAAGGCGGTCACTTGGAAATGACCGTCAAGATCAACAAGAGCTAGGGTAGGCTGGGCTAGGCTAGGCTAGAATAGATAGAGAAAGTCAAATAAATTATGAGCGCGCGGATGCGTGCGCGTTTGAGTCAACTCCTTCACAGCAACAAGTCTCCGCTTTACGACTAGGCGGAAGCTATCGGTACCTCGAGCCTCTCACTCAAGTCGTGGCCGGCCCACGGCCAAGCCACGGTCTGTTACAGTGACACCTCTATAAATGACACCCAGTTCGCTCGGTCTAATACGCTGTTTCAGTTAAAGAATTGATCAGATAAAGAAATGGCTACACTTCTAATGGCTACATTTTCATATGTTATGTTAGGTGCACAAGGGCTTTCTTTACCTGGTACCCCTCCAGCATTTTCGTACTCTTGTTTTGTTACGTCTTCACACAGACAGAACCTAACCAATAATGGTAGGCGCGGTATTGTCTGTTCCTACTCCTTCTTCTCATTGGTATTAGCAGAATCGCATCCCCTCAGGTTGTACGTGAGTTTCAATACAGTGAGGTTATGGGAATATTTGTTGTCCCGATATCCTGCCACCATGCCTGCAGTTTTATCTTTTGCTTGGTATCTACTGCATAGCCCCTAGTTGTCTCGACATCATAATATTTTAGTTTTTCGTTATATATATATGTACGCTGCGCTGCTTGTAAAATACTGTGGCTAGCTTATTTATCACAAGCTTGCAGTTACTGCAAACTCTTTGTTCCAACGTAGCATCCCAAATACAATTTCTCTCTTCGCTCGATTTCTTGTGGCGGGAGTAGTGGTAGCAATGGCGTACATGGGAGGAGCCTGGCAAGTGATTGAGAAAAACATATGAGTTTGGATCTATTACTGCGGCGTCCACTTAGAGGGTTGAGGCGCCAACAATTGCGACCATTTAGAGAATAAAGAGGTTTTTGATCAGTTATAAAACACCTATAGTGAAATCCATATAATCCCGTTTGCAGTCGAGGAATCCTAACCAGATAGGGAACACATGGTCAGTTATAGGGGTTCATTTAGGGAGGTGTCACTGTACACGCACTTTTGGAAGAACAGACACAATAGGCAACCCGGAGCGTTGCTCCGGGAGGTCGACGAATAACGTAAATTCCCGAATAATACCCCTTACCCGTATAGTACCCTCTAAAACGTAACCTAATACGTATCCCAGGGTTACAATGTTTCTTCCAGACAAAGATCAAGTACATTTTTATGAATTTATTGTGGAAAGCATATTTTCGTATGAAATACTGTGTAATATCCATAATTTAGCTTATTTGTTTTGAAAATGGGAGGGTACTAATAAATAGTGCCCGGTCCCTTAGATGGGTTTTTGCAGTATTACCATACCCGGAACTAGCGGCCAATATACTGTCGGTTGGCATCCTTCGGAGTTGGGCAGAACAGAGATTTATCGTGCCCAGCTGGATGCGATCAATCGGATAGGGGAGGACACCGAGTTGTCCACCGAGTTGCGCACGTATTGTCGATCCTGGGTATTGGAGGCGAATGCAGCCAACGTGGAGGACAACAGAAGACTCGCCGCAGACGCAAGCAGGTGGGCTCACATTCGTAAGTGGCTCACTGACAAGTACCTACGAGCGTAACCAACCGAGATCAGCGACATGGATTGGGATCTTCTTCATGTGTTATTCTGCCTTTCTGCCAAAACGCCCTCCGATTTGAGGTCCTACGTCAGGAGCCTTACTCTTACGTAAGACCTCATAAAAGTTAGTACCAAGGCCATTAAAACCGTGCATAAACAATAACTGAATGTAAACTGAGCGAATTGCTTGCGAAGGGAGGCCAACAAATGAACGTGTGTAGTACCATTATACCTGTAGGCTACAGGCTGTAGCACATGTACCCGTACGTAGCTCCACGCTGGCATGGTGACCTAGCTGCGGTGCTGCCTGAGTCTCCGCCTGTACGAGTGTGGTCAAATTATGCACTTGCCACAGATGCTGTCAGGCACACTGACGTGATCTAGTCCTACGAAGGCCCGAATGGCCAGCTTAACACGGCCATTCGGTCCTTATTTCCAAAAAGGTACCCTTTAGATGAAGACGGAGCTCCTATGTAGGACTTCCGTAATCCGATGCAGGGCTAACAGCAAATCCTAGGTTTTACCCTACCCTCTCCTTCTTGAGACCACCTTTTTGAGGTCAGACTGGCCAAAGTTTCTGAAAGGCACAATACCTCATGTCATCCGGCATTGGAGTACCACGCCGATGGGGCGAACGCCTCTGGGCTCGCTGGGGAAATGGTATGGCAGTTATCTTGCCATCCAAGCCATCTGTGAGGACATTGGTCAGGGAAAATGGGGAAGTATCGTGATGCTTCCGCTAGGGCTGAACCGGGAGGAGTGGGAGGACGTGACTCCACTCTCGGTGATTCCCACCAACCGATAATAAAGGCACTTTGTGCCGGACCCCCACGGCTGCAGACACCATGAGGCAGTCGTGGGATCCTCCTCGCGAGAGGAGAAGCATGGATTCGTCGGAGGAGCGGCAGGACGGCTGTTCGGTCCACTCGTTCCGACAGCAAGCGGTTGAGGCAACGTCAATTGGGAGACTTCTTTCCAATCGTAGCTGGCGTTGAAAAAGCCAAACAGGTTCGAAGTCGTTTCCGGGCCGAGCGCCAGAAGCAGCTCACCCAGCGCCGCGCTGACGAACAAGCCTTCCTTGACCAGCTACTTGGTTTCGGAGGTGGACTAAATGCCGAGGATCAAACCTATGGGGGAGTGACTCAGAATGTGAACGGATTTGGTGCCAGAGCCAGCGATCGCGATGCTTGGTTTCGCAGTTTCCGAGCCCAAGGATCTCATGGTCGGAACGATATTTATCTACTTCAGGAAACTCATGTCGAAGGTGGCGACATCGACAAATGCTCGGACCAGTATGCGGCTGGCTGGGGCTTCCGTACAGGTGTTGGGTGTCCGACGCGTTCTTTCTGGTCGCCGTCACGAAATAAAACGGCAGGAGTGGCAAATTGCCACTGGCAATCCTGGTGGATCCGTATGGAGGTTTCACGGACGTGACACCGATCCTTGTTGAACACTGGAGCCCGCACTTCATGGCTGTCCAAGGTCATCTCAGGGGGCAACACCTAGTGGTCGTGAATGTGTATGCACCGCACCGGGTGCCGCAACGTGAAGCGTTCTTTCGTCTTCTAGCCGGTATCGAATTGCCACATGGAGCACTGATCGCATTGGGAAGTGATTTTAATTGTACGCTGGAGATGAGGCAGACCGCAGCTACACCAGCCGGGCTAGTGCTCATGACTCCGCTGCACTGAAAGAGCTATTGGCGTCGTGGGGGATGGTCGATCCAGTAGCAGCAGCTCGCCCCACCCAATGGCGGCAAGGTGAGCTATTGCGGCATCACGCGGAGACGCATACTTACCGATATCCAGTGGCTGGGCATGGGGAGGCGTCGTCCCGCCTTGATCGGTGGTACGTCAATGCGCACTTGCACACGTGGGTGTCTGGTTGGGAGACAGTACCTCCTGGAGCTCACGCCGACCATTCAGGTGCTAAACTCCACTTCCAGTCTCCGGACGACCGGACGACCCCATCAGAATGCGCAAGCCACCGAAAGTCCACCCTGTTCCCGCGTTTGCAGCAGTCGCCGTTCAGGAACACACACGATTTATTCTGCAGGAGTTTTTGGGGCGTATTGGGGAAGACGGAGTAACTGCGCACGAAACGGCAAAGTGGTGGGATGAGCTGAAGCGTCGGCTCGTCAAAGACACGCTCTCCATTGCTCGGACTCAGCGCCGAAAATGCCACAATACCTTCAGCCAAAAATTGCGGCGACTTCGCAAACAACAACACCGTCTACAGGAGGCCATGCGAGGCGACCATTGACTCCATTACCGACGGGCTCGATGCGCTCACGTTGGAGGATATGCATGGTCCTTCGCCCGCGGTTCGGCTGAGACGAGCGATTGCCGAGTGTCAAAGGGCGCGCTCCTCGCTGCACCAACGCCGTCATTTTTCGGCGAGTATCCAGCAAATTTATGGATAATACGGTACCTCACCTCGATCCTGCCGTTAATGGGCCTGTACGTGGTGCTTACGACAAAACGGACACGTTAGCGGACGCCTGGCAGCCCATTTTACAACAATCGGCGGCCGACCCTCAGTTGCAAGACACGGTCGCGGGATGGATCGAGAAAATCACAACAGCGAGCAAAGAGCAACAAGCCACAGTGGCTTCGATCACGGCAGCGGAAATTGAGTCGGCTATTGCTGCTTGCAAGGAGGGGAAAGCAGCGGGGCCAGATCGGCTGGGTAACAGTTGGTACCGCATGTATGCTACCCAGCTAGTGCCGATCTTTGAAGTGTTGCTCAATCAATGGTACAAAGCTGGGGGTTTCCCTGCTTCGTTCCTGGAGGCTAACATTTTTTGTCTCAAGAAATCGGGTGACCCGCACAATGCCCTGAACTACCGACCGATCGCGCTTTTGAATACGGACTACAAGGTTTTTACGCGTATCCTGGCGACCAGAGTGAGAGCAACGCTGGACGAGCGTATCCATGGAAACCAGAACGGCTTTGTTCCTGGCAGGACCATCCATGAGACTCTGCACATCTTTGACGCAGTACAACAAGCTATATCTGATGATCCTGAGCAGGACGGGGCACTCGTGTTGTTCCTCGACTTCATGAAGGCGTACGACTCCCTCTCACGGACTTTTTTTACTTAAGGCGCTGCGGCAGCATGGGTACCCTGAGCAGTTTATTAAGACGGTGAGAATTCTCCACGACGGGACCACGGCAAGCTTCCTGGCCAACGAATTTCAGTCTCGGCAGGTCAAGGTGTCCAGCGGAATCAGGCAAGGCTGCCCTCTCGCACCACTCCTTTTCATCTTGGCGCTGGAAGCACTGTATCAAGAACTCGATCGTCACCCAGAGCTCAAAGGAGTCCTCCTGCGATCAACTGGCGGAGAAGTGGAAGTCCGGGTAGCAGGATATGCTGACGACACCGCAGTCTATTTGGCCTCGGCGGATAAAGTCGAGACACTGCTGCAAGTCACCACTGCTTTGGTGCTGCCTCTGGATTAAGCCTTAATCACGATAAAACCATGGTCTTCGCGTTAAGCAAGTCTGGGCCGCCTTCGGATACTCAACTGCCTGCGATACTGAAGTTCGAAGACACACAGCATCAAGGCCGCTATCTGGGCATTTACGTTGGCAGCGCCCGTGACCCCGAAAAAACTTGGACGATCGCGGAACGACAGCTTGCAACGCGTCTTGTGATGGCCTGTCAGAAAACCACGACAGTAGATCAGAGAAGCTTGATAGGGTCTGATATTATTGTGCCTAAGCTTCTCTACATAGGACAGCACGCATGGCCGTCCACTAGTACCATCAATCGACTGTCCAAGAAATTGCAGAACTACGTCTGGCATGGGTGTTTTACGACCGAACTTCAGGGGAGCAGGGCCTGACTGGACGCTGATCTCGCGGGCTTGCCACGCACGCACGGGGGGGGGGGCTAGCGGTGCCAGATCTCAGGGTCGAGTTGATGGCCATGGCGGCAGTCACAGTCTCAAACTGGGCGGTAGTGGGGACACATCCAGCTCATATTGTAGGTGACATACTGTTTGCCAGAGTGTCGGCACCTGGCACCTTGGCCCCTGCTATCTAGTTGACTCCGGCAGTGGGTCCGGAGCAAGTGGCCGACCTGTTAAGACCCGACGTCAGTGTCGTAGATGTCCAGCCTCACCCACGAGTCTCGCGTATGGTTTGTCTTTGGGTGGGTAATCGGAGGTGGACACGACCTCGCAAAAACTATCGTGATCTCATTGCGGCCGCTTCCCAACGGCGAGGATATGCAAGTGCTACCCGTCGGAGGGCACGCTGGGAGCAAGCCAGTGCACCAGCAGCGCAGGGGCTATCGCAACTTGAGTGGGCGAGGCTTCGACGCATTGTTGGCCTAGGGCCGTGGGGGGAACAAGTACTGTACCGGCTCAAAAATCATGCCTTCCCTCTTTACGACCGTAGCAGACAACAACTCGGATGCCCCCATGCAGCGTGCGTCCGGCTGGCGAGGGTTGATTCGCACCACATCTTCTGGGTGTGTCCGGCCGCAGTATCACTACGCAAAGTCCTCACGCAACACTGGCTAGCGATGGGTATCCTCGGGCGCGTCTCGAGGAGTCATGTTTTAGCTTACTCCTTCCTCAGGTGCCTGCGGGAGTGTGGACAATGGTAGAGCAGCTCTTCCCCAGTCTGGAGCGACGTACGGTTGACCAGTTAACGGTGGCGATGACCAAGGTAATGGGGAGCTGTTGGCGAGTCGGTGTGGCGCTCTACTTCCACGCTTGATGGAGGTGGCGTGTGGCGTTCTTTGACCCGCTCAACACCGTTACAGAAGACTACCACCGGGCCTTAGTATCCAGACTGCGCCACGGGTATGACACTGTACATCTACATCTCGGTCGAAGTCTTCAGCGGGATGTTCTCGAGATGGCGGCCCGGACAATGCGTCGTGTGCTCATATCCGCGTGGGAGCCGACGCTCGACGCGGCCCCTACTGGACGGACCCGCTACCTCTTGTTTTTCGATGGCGGCTCGCGTGGTAATCCCGGCCCTGGCGGTAGTGGTGCTGCCGTGGTCCGCATCGGAAACGGACGGGGTGGTCATGAGATCTGTTGGGTCATTAGCATGTCCTACGCGGCGGCCAGCATGACCAACAACGTGGCGGAGAACATGGGGCTACTGACGGGGCTCAAGGCGTGCATTCATTTTGGCTGGACCTGGTAGGAGACAGCAACCTCATCATTCATCAGCAGAAGACGCGGACTCCGCCTCGAGCTAAGCACCTACAACCGCTATATTGGCAAAGCCGGCGGCTGGTAGACAAACTGGCGGTAACGACGTGGCAGCACCACTTGCGTGCTCACAACAGAATGGCGGACGCCCTCGCCAACATGGCGATAGACTCACGCCGCAGTTTTCAAAAGATACCCACTCGAATTTGCGGCTCCGGCTCGACGTGGGACGACGTGTACAACTACGCTTCCGGCGACGTAGGTCACTGGATGGAGCAGAACAGTGATGAGAACTCCTCGGAGTTCGTGGCCTTCACCCGTTAGTGTGTGGAGGTGGCTCTGGCTTTGGTTAGGACCGTTTCATAGGGCGGTCGGTTAGAGACGACCACCGGTAGCTGTCGTTAGCCAAAGAAGTTAAGTGACATCAATGTACCTCACTGCGAAACGAAACGAATAAATAGTGCCTGGGACATTATTCGGTAATTTCCGTTAGTTTCATGGACGATGATAACGGATAACAAATGAGTATTAATAATAAATCCCAAAGTTGTATTGTTGTTAATCGTCAACCCTATTGTGGTTGGTGGTCCTAAAACCTTGCAATACGCTTGGTTTTACAAATTTAATCCAATCAAATCATCCCTCTATTGATTTTGACCTATTATATCACTTGCGTAAAACCAAGCATATTGCGAGGTTTTACAACAATAATTGCAATAATTATTGGTAAACCCCTGCAAAATGATATATTATGCTGCGGGGTGCGGAGCAAAACCAAGCATTTATGCATGTTTTACACTTTACTATAGGGGCTTCAGTATACTAAATCCAAGTATAATATTGATCACTAAAGGGTTAAAAGCACTACCAGCCCAAGTCTCTAGTTGATTCTAACGTGGGCATCTACTGCGCCTGCTTCGCAGCCGCAGCATCTGCCCGGGAATGCGTAATTGAACAAATAGTTGCGCACATCGAAGTGTATCGATACGAAAATGATGCTTCAGCCAAACCTTTGTGAGGCTGGTAACCAGCAAGCCCCGCTCTTCTTTATCGTTGTGGGTACTCAGGAACCGAAAGTCACCAATTGAGGTTGCCTGGTCTGATGAGGTCATCGGTGATGGTCAGCGTCCAATGGCTGCGTTGGCGCCAGCAACGAGAGAGCTTTTTCATTCATTTTGCATGTAAGGTATTGTGCTCATTTTTGTACTACTGTACGTTGTGTGCTAACGATCAGACGAGAGAGCTACAGTAGCGGAACGAAGGAGAGACGCATGGTGCGCTGATCTTGACCTTTTAACTTGAAGATGTTAGCTAAGTGACAATATGAATGATATACCTGTAGCCATATTACACCAAGTGACAATAATGATTCTCAATTCAAAAACAAAACAAACAAACAAGCTTTTAACTTGAGGGCTTGGGGGTAAATTGCGGAATGATAAATACGCTAATGAGCCAATTCCTTGGAAGTGGGTGCTTCAACGCAGGGGAAAAAGTCTTATTCAAACGAACGATGCTCGTGTCACTGTCGGGTTGAGCTCATTGGTTTGGCGACAGACACGAGGTTGGGCATCTTTGGCTAAGAGTGATTGGGTATTGAGCAAATTGACATGTAAAAAAATACAGCCTGCACCTAGACAAATAATGTTGGTCATCTTCAGCTAAACTTGGTCGATTATGGGGCAAATTGATACGCCTTCAGCGAAGCCATGACGCTCTCATAGTGTACTGGAGCGTCCGTAAGTGTTTGGATGCAGGTTATGGTAAATAATAATCGATTAGTATCAACCTTTGGTAAATAATGTGCATTAATCTTAGCATTTATCGACGGGTACCCGATTCCGGCAAAGATTAACTTAAACATTACAATTAAGAAATAGAGACCCGGTTTGGTACCCGGTTTTGGAAAGTTACAAGTTTTTGCCGGGGCCAAGCACAGGTCTTCGACCTGTGAACAGCGAGAGCTGAGGGGATCAGCTGTGCCAAGTGTATGGATACGCCAACACGGATTGCACTGCCTGTAAGCCTGAAGTCTCCATGAAGGTTGGTCCTGCGTTTCCTGCAGAGTCTGGAGCGCACTTTCCGCCGCATTTCTTGCGGGCCGTCAACATGGAGATTCGCCGTCCGTCCGTCGGAGAAGGGATTCGCTAAGGAGGGCCCTCATCGGGAGGGCCCTCGTAATAGAGTCGACATTTGGGAAACAGCCGGTTGTAACAAACGCACATTTGGGTCATTCGTAATAGGTACATGTACCAAAACGAGAGCTCGGTTCACAAAGCACTCTCCCACCTCTCATGCGTGTCCACCGCGCCTTCTTCGCCTGGGCATCCCAGCTACAGCAAGGGAAGGGAGTGTCTGCCCAGGCGAAGGTTTTTGCTCAAGAAGAGCTCGACGGCGCGCATGCGGCTGCAGTCACCAAGGCATGGCTCAGCAATCGTGCCGGCAAGGCCCTGCGCGCGAAGTGGAAAGCGCTAACGCCAGAAGAGAGAGAGAGAGAGAGAGAGAGAGAGAGAGATAGAGAGAGAGAGAGAGAGAGAGAGAGAGAGAGAGAGAGAGAGAGAGAGAGAGAGAGTGAGAGAGAGAGAGAGCTTCTTGCAGAGCACTGCTGACAACACGTTCCCTATGGAAGAAGCGTCCAACGGGGTGCTAGACGAGCGCCAAGATGGCGCTCGCTACCCACATCGAGCCCGCGCTGCTATCACTTCGACTGACTCGTGCGTTGGTGGATCCTGCGACGCGTCAGTTCAAGTGCCCGAGTCGGCGGCCAACCAGGCTCTGGCCAAGCTTCTACGACAGCGCAATCAGCTCTGTGGCTCTGTGGCGCGAGCCGCAATGTCGGCAGAGCTGGCTGCTATGGCGATGGCTGTTCGGAAGCGTGATGCCCATGGTGTTGCTGAGTCTGCTGCCGCGGTTATTGAGTGCTTGGGTGCGCAAGTGGCTGGCAGCTTCTCGGCAGGAGCACGAGACAAATTACCGGTGTTGACGCGGGATACGGCGGCTCATGTATCTGCCACGAGATCGTATAATTTGTTGCATAGTGACTCTGAAGCGATGGAAGCTCATGAAATGACGCGAGACTGGTTTCGAGTGGCCGTGGCAACGTTGCGCGACTTTACAACCGACAAAAGTGGCGTCGACCCGAGATTTAAGGAGGCTCTGGACAACCAAGTGCCGTTCAATCCCTGATATGCTACGTATTTGGGATCCCTAGCTTGGCAGGGCCAGCTTGACTCGGGTGGCAACGCTGTGCCGGTAAATGGATCGGATTCTTCCTGGACTGGTGATTTGGGAGTAGAGCCTGAGCTGGATGAAGAAGCTGCCTCCTCGCTGCATTCTGCATCTGTACCAGACCTACCGGTCCCTAATTCTGACGGCGCGATAGCTGATCCCGCCCTCTCGACGGCCGTCACGAGCAACAAGGCCGCTAATACTACGCCATCTTCGGCGCATGTGAACTCATCGCCTCGCCCTCAACTTCCTCACAGCGGCCCAAGCTCAAAAAAGCGAACCTGCGACTACGTGGCCTCTTCTGCTCATGCGACCGGTAACCTTCGGGTCGAAGGAAATATCGTGGCTTCAGTCAAGAAAAAGCCGAGGGCTTGTGTACGTAAAATGTCATCCGTACACTATTACTTCGGATGAAGTCGGTCAGCTAGGTTAACTTACACGTAACCTGTAGTGAGAAAGTTAACCCTATCGCGGTAATAGGATACAGAAAGCGCCCTTTAGATGATTTTCCAAAACACGGTAGAGTGTACCTCCTCTTAAAGAGCGCATCCTGTGCCCTTTTGCACAAGTTCAAGCTAGTAATCAACCTTATTTTAAAACAAATCATAATCGGTACGCAGAGTAATCATCATGTAATGATAGTCTTTACAAATTCTAAGTCATACGCATACATTCTATGTATCCCGCAAATCACCGTAGATGGCATGTCCCATGAGACACACCGAAAAGGCTCCGTAACTTTGTAAAAGGACGCCTAGAGAGCGCCCTTTTAGAAGGAAATATCAATGAGTTGTATACTATAATTTATTGGGGATACTCGCGAAAGGGTTAACACGGAAACCATGCTACACTTCTGATGTTTTGATAGGCTTATTTATTAGTTTTGCTAGTAAGTAATTCATCAGCAGTGTTACAAAGGTATATGTTGCAGAAGTGTAGCAGAAGTGCATCCTGCTGAAGTGTTACATATTTGTACATTGCAGAAGCGTAACACTTCTGCAAGGTGCATTTCTGTTACACTTTTGCAACACGCGCAAGTGTAACACTTCTGCATCTAAAGTATAAACGACATCTACCTGTCTGTTTAAAAGTGAAACATACGAGATAGGTACGTATCCGTTAGCGCTTACATGCTTGCGCACTAGAACCCTTATAAAAGTTTAAAGTGCAAGGTATGGTGCAAATCTGCAAATTGCATATCTGTGAAACTTCTGCATGGTACAGTGGTACAACTTCGATTGTAGTACATAGTGCCCTAAACGTTGTGGGTGTGCTTGTGCGCGTTAGGTAGACTTTATAGAATACGTGTTAAAGTTAAAACGGGTGTCTGTTAGCGTCTCCCCAAGTGCGTGGATGTGCTTGAGACGTTTGGTAGGGCCCGGCCAGGCTTTTGTCGACTCCCAAGCCGTCCTGTTGGTAGACAGTGGTGACATTAATAAGCCCATTACTTGGTAATACCCCGCCATTCATGGTTGCTTGGAGATGAAGGCTTGGTTGGCTTGAACTGGTAATGAGATGGCTCGTCATCCCTCGCATAAAACTTGGTGCTGGATTGTTTTGGTCAACTCTTTCTGCAAGCGTGGGATCTCGTGCTGTACCACTTGCCCACGATGCATTTGGGCTTTCCTGCGTTTAGTGCGAAGACTTGCGGGTTCGAGGATGCGTGGACGCCAAGACCCCATCCGGTCGCGGTAAATCCACCAGTGTGGATCATACATCGTAGGAAGTAGTTTCATCCGACCGTTAGACTGAATGACGGAAATCCATTCATGTACTCCCATTCACGATCCGAAATACACCAGTGCATCTACGGTACGGTTTAGCTCCAGTCAGCTTTGAATAGCCTCCTTCCAGAGTTCGTCAGTTGCTCGCAGAGCCCATACCGTGATAATCCGGTATCTGTCGTTCTGAAAGGGTACGGTAGAATCGTAGCATCACGAGCAGCACGAATGCTTACAGCACTTGCTGAAGAGAGCCACCATGGTAGTAACCGAGTAAAGACAGTGTACAGGTCACCATTGCTGTCCTTTAGCCAACGCTTGCATTGGGCATGGGTACCCTCCACGGCTGAGGTATCACGATACTCAAAGTGCTTGTACTTGTTCGTCCAACACCGGACGATTTTAGTCTTGTACTTCCACCAATAAGCCTCCAAGTAGGCCGCCAGAACCAGAGACAAGTCTTTCAAAATCACACATTGCAATTCAAAGTCACTTTCAGTGCTTGCTTCCACTGCCCTATAGAAGAATGACATGAAGACCTCAGTCTGCCAAGTATTTTCCCACTTATCTTGGCCAGGAAGGGGGTTCTCCACTTGAACCTGACCGAGAACGATGCGAACCTTTGCCAATACGTTCTGGTTCAGATGTCATCTGCAGACTAGTGACGGAACCTCAGGAAACACGAAGTCAAGAGCATTCATCACGGCCAATTCACGATCGGTTAGATTGACCGATGGAAGTTGGATAACATGCTCGTCAATCAATTCGCGAAATCGCATCAAAAACGAAGTGTAGTCATTATCTTTTTGTCTAGGTAAGAAACACTGCGCCACGGGCAGAACAGTATTCATCCCAGTCATTGGGATGACGTTAACTAGTGGCAGGTCGTACTTGTTTGTCTTGAACATACCATCCATTATCAGAACATCGCAGTGTAATTTGTACAGGCGAAGTGTAGCAGGATGCGCCCACAGCAAATACAGTAGCTCGTTTGTGGCTGGGTTGATCTCATATCTGAAGAAAAACTTGTGATTGTTCAACAGAGAAAAAGAGCTTCAAGTGGGGTCTGCGTCACCACTGACCTGCTTCCTCGCCCTCATTTTGAGGTTTCCGATATCTTTCGGGAGAACAAGAGAACCAGGGGTGCTGTGGAGGATGGCCGCTCGAATCTTGGCCACTGGAATACCGGCAGCTGTCTGACCGACAATAGTTTCCTCCATACTCTGTTGAGTAAGCGATATACCTGCTGCAGCACGCTGCCGGTGTGCGGCGTGGACACGAACATCGTCTACCGCAGAGTGATTGCGTACCTCACTGTTATCACGAGTATGTACAATTTTCCAAGGTCCCTCGATGTCAGACTTAGAGACCACGCACATTTTTAACCGTATGGGGCATCCACAACGCTTCGAGCCACGCATGGACCGCTGTCGCTCGCTATCCACCAAATGCTGCGTGCACTTTGGCCACCCTGCTCGGTCACATTCATAGTTGCGCGCCCACACAATTTTGGTACCAGGTAAATACCGAACCCGTCGTCGAGAGACGTTGTAATGGTGCTCCAATGTCCACTAATGTATCGCTACCTCCGCTGCATCGTGCGATTCGTACGTAAGCTGAGGTGGTGGCGGCTCATCGTGGGTGCTGGGATTGTCAAGAAAAAAATCAAAGAAGTCTTCTACTGTGCTAATGGCGGCAGCAACAACGGACAATGATTGTGAAGCTGCACTTGATGAAGAAGCGTGTGAGGCAGTCGAGGAGTTCGTTGAAAATTCGTGCGAGGTCTCAACGACAATTTCGCGTACTGATCTGGACAAGCTGCGCGCTGTAGTTGATAAATTTCGCAAACTGGCTACATTTTTTAGCCACTCGACTAAGGCCATGGATTGCTTGAGAAAGCTTCAAACCAAGGAGCTTCTCCCCCAGACCGACTGTGCGACCCGTTGGAACAGTACTTACGCGATGTTGCTGCGAATGATTAAGATTCGTGGAACATTGGATTTTTTTTAGCATGTTGCCACGACAGGCGAGTTTTCGGACACTACCGCTGAGCAGCCAACCGCTGAGCATTGACTGGTGATACGATGTTTGATTGTTTTGCTTCAGCCGTTTGCAGAGGCCACCGATGGGCTAGGCGGCCAAAAGTACCCTACACTCGCTATCGCAGTTCCGGTACTTCGTCAAATCGAGAGGAAGCTCAAGAATACCGAAATGTTCGATGCGATCATTCGCTCTGTTGGCAAAGAAGACTTCGCTGGCCGAGTCAAGTTGCTTATGGACTCCGTGAGGAAAACGTTCATTCAACTCTTCACGGATAGATTCACAAGTAAGCTTCCTGAAGAGTAACTATGGATCTCGGTTCTAGACCCCAGATGTGCTGAGCGCATGCACCTATCGCAGCAGGAAGCGGCCATCGCCAAAACGCGTCTGAAGTCGGCAGCAATAGCGATGGCCAAAGAGATCAGTGCCGGCAATGATGATGGTAGTGCTCTCGGTCGCCGTTCTTGCGCATCGGACCCACAGTCAATCGCCAAAAAGGAGCATATAGCCTGGTTGACGGATGTTTTCAGTGGCGGTGTTGGAAATCGCCCGGTCCAAGAACCACCAGCGGTCAATGAGAGCCTGAAAGATAAATGTGAGTCTGAGATCACGCTGTACTTGAGTGATGCACAAGGAACTGCTGCTACGGTGAATCCATTGAAGTGGTGGACCAAGGAGCGCCGAGCGAAGTACCCTATAATAGCAGCTTTAGCGCGGAAGTGGCTTGGGCGCATCGCAACTTCAGTGCCGTCTGAACGAGCGTTTTCCCAAAGCGGAAATGTGGTTACGTCAAAACGTTGCTCTCTGGATCCTGAAATCATTCGTGACATCATGTTTGTCGGAGAAACCTACGCGGAAGACGATGATAATTTACCGAGTGATGAAAGTGACGGCAGTGATAAATAAGGATTAAATACGTAAGTAAGCCCGTAGCACGTGAGTTAAACTGTCAACATAATATATGTAGTGATCCCGTTTATTGTATGATGGTTGCACCTTCAACAGCTAAATTCCTTACCCGGTCAAATCTTGCTTTATCCAGCAAGCAGCCCACTGTGGTCATACTGCCAAATGCCCGGAGTACGATGCGCACTACGCTGGATTTGTCGTTGATGTCCTTGAACATGGTCACCTTGGTTAGCAGCCATCGACGCATACAGCAGCATCGGTGTACCTGGCAGCTACGGCTTCTTCGCTTCACTGAACTCTCCCAGGCGCGTCGCCTTACGTAAGCAGAACTCAAAGCATCTTGTCAGTCATCGCAGCAGTCTATATCGTCCTTGCAACATGCCCTACTGAGCACACCGCGTGGAGCCCGCGCACGACGTAGTTCATTCTCCGCTGCTTCTTAGACTACCGATAGACTCACCACGACGAATAGAACATGCCGTCATGCACAGTCACGCACTCGGGACGAATCCATCAGTCCAGCGATGCTCACCGCTAGCGACGATGCCCGCAGCTGGGCCCTTCAGCGGGTGAATAAAATGACGCGTGGTCTACGGCTCTCGTAACGCAGTGTAGACGGTTGATTATACATCCAGCGTGTAGTCGCACGAGAATACTACGTACCATATTAGCATCTTCATCACGCCCGCAGCAGCAGCTTCCAAGCTTCTCGCCTCACTCGACTTGCTGTTGGTGTGAAAATGAAGTGGTCGGATCACTTTCAACCAATAGAGGACAGGGACCAGTAGATTTTGATTTTGATTTTGATCCAATCATCTGAGCTGTTCGTTATCGCTCGTTATCTAACGTAAAAAAACGGATAACGTTAACTTTTTCGTTGTCCAGATAAAAGCAAACGTTGAAAGGCCACACGCTTGAAGCGTGTGGCATGTATAATTAACGTGTACCACACCAAGCATATGCATCTGGTTGAGGCGCCCGCGAGGCACTCCTTTTCTGCCATTTATCTTAGATTTGTATGAAAACCCTAGTGGTGCCTCAAATTTCGAGAAGTAATGCGCCTCAAAACTCCGGATTGTGGCAAAGAGGCACAAGTGCCTCAACTAGAGTACCCTCCCTATGTGCTATTCAGTTTGGTTAATTGGGGCTTGCAGTCCAAGCCATTCTACCTCACGAGTTGGTACTGAAGTACAAAGAGGGTCACTGAAAACAGCGTCGACTGCACCGCGTAAAACTGCGTCTCCAACACGAACGCGAGCTGATATAACGGCGAGCAAGAAAACTTGCGTTGTAAAAAGTTGCTCAGGAGTAACAGGGAGCCGACTTCCAGGACCGCGTACACGAGCAGGTTCGTCACTGCGGTCAATCCCCATTTGCCGGCGCAACCAGGATAGTAGGCAACATTTGGCAAGTGCTCAAGCACCGACTTGTACGCGAGGTAAACGAATGGCACGACGCATTCTACGTACTCAACCAGCACTAGGTACTCGAAGTGGAAGAGTAGTTGCAATCCATGTCGAACCAAGTGAATAGATTCGCTGGCCTGTCGGAAACTTGGGGCCTTAGAATCACGCAGCGACGAAGGAATTACTGGTACAGGCACTACTGAAGATCGTTGGAAGCTCCAATGATAGTAGGGTGAGTCGGAGAAAACTGTCCTTGAATTGGTAGCTTCGTTCGTTGGTCCAAACACGCCCGAGGTCTCCACCTTTTGCAGTTGTTTGTATTGGCTCGTCGATACAAGATGAGGAGGGCTCGCCCACAGTCGAACCCCGTCCAGAGACCCCACTTGGTGTGCGCTTGGGTTGCGTACCACATCGACAATCATCGTTACCAGCTGCACTGACTTAAAATTTTGGGCCCCACGGCGTTCGTCATGGATAATTTCCAGTATAATGTGTTCATCCGATGAAATCCCGCGGAATTTCTTTAATAAATGGAAAACATCCATGCCGATGAACAGCGCTGTGAGGGAGAAGGACCGTGAAGATGACATACAGACCGAGATAAATAGTGAACCGAAGAAGTCGACCGAAAAAGCCACAAGTTGTGGGATGAAGTCCTCCACTTGACGATTCATGCGCACAGCGAATCGCTTGGCCCCAAACTTCCAGAACGGCAGAATCAGAACCACCACACCTTGATATTTCTGAGGCAGAAAGTCGTACAAGACTCTGCACAGCGGATATATGCCGGATAGCGTCAAGGCTACGACGAAGCTGAACTGAAACTTCTTGTGATGCCGCCGGAGAGGTGAACTGTCGATAAATAACGCCGGGCCCAACACAAGACGAGTCAGTACGGGGTCGTAGACCCCCATCGTGATAGCCCCAGTCTGCCACATGAACGGCACTGGAAAGCCCACAACCACACCTTCGAGAATGTACGTCCCCAGTTGAGCAACGGTCAGATAGCAAGGTGGAGTCTGCGAAACGAGTAGCTGTGCTCTGGAACAAATAAATTCAACTGGCAAGTTCCTGCCCCGCTGATCATGAATATCATCAGCCCCACGCGGATCCAGAACACCCAATTCGCAGCCCAACCTCCCGACGGGGGGGGGGCTCAGTGGTAGACACTCCAGCAATATAACCACTAGCAGCACGGGCACGGGAGTGAGAAGGCAAGCCAAAACCACTCTGGTGAAGGAGACGGTTTAGCAGTATTCGTACAAAAGCTCGAGACGCTCGACGGAGTAGGATCCTTGGTGGCCAACTTGAACGCGACTCCAACACTTCTTCAGGTGATTCCACGACGATGAACATGGACACCTCGGGGTTTCTGCTGCGACAGGCTCACGTAAGGCTTCCATCTCATCTTTTTGTAACTACATTCATAATACGAAGCAGTACTTTTCTGCGCGGCTTAAAAATAGTGGCGCTATTTTGGAGGGTGCCGATGCCTGGGATGAATTTTAATGGCGGACGCTGCAGCCACAAACAGATTTCATAAAACATATGTGTTTGTGACCTGTTTGTGACTCGAATTATAGTTGTCGTCGTGGAAACCATCCCTGTTGCAGGTGTAGCCGATAAGATCCACAAGCAACCACAAGCAGCCATAAGCACAATCGAGCGGGTTGAGTCACACTAGCTACGCTTTCAGTACGATTTTCCTCCACGTGTTTGCCTCACTCCAAACACAAAGTAGTGTAGCGACAATCGAGCGGGTTGAGTCACACTAGCTACGCTTTCAGTACGATTTTCCTCCACGTGTTTGTCTCACTCCAAACACAAAGTAGTGTAGCGAATGCGGCACGCTAACAGTCTACAGCCGAGCGGAGTTACTTTCAGCGCTAGCCTACAGCAAATTGAAGCCTGCAATCTGCACAATAACCATAACACGCATGCCCGAATTGCTTTTCTCCCCTCATGCCGCTTTTGCACCCTAGCACGCTGTTGAAAACCACGAGTGTATCTACTTGGTTACGTAATTAAAGAGTAATGTGTATTATAAATCTTAGATGCCACGAAAGTAAGGGTGGTATGCCTCCAACGCCTGCTTAAAAAGTCTAAAGCGCAAGGCTTCAAGATGGCTTTGTGATACTTCGGCAGTCAAAGACTCGCGTGACGAGCAAGCCACAGTTGTGTCCGTCGAATTGGCGAAGAGCGGTCATTCTTTGGACACTGAATTCTTCTCGTAGTACGATTGCCAAATATCGATCGCAGACATACTGGAGTTTAGAGTAGTTAGAGTGTTCTTGCAGCGGGTCGAACATATTGACAATGTTCCTTGCTTTGTCCACGAGTAGCAAACACCAGTGATCATTGTCGAAATTGACAGGGAGTATGATGTATCTTGCTCCGCTGCCGAACGCTTCGGCAAATAAGCGGTTTCTTGCAAGCTCGGGCCCTGGGGTTTGATGATACATCGCGCGATGTAAGAACTCGGCGTCAACAAATCTCGTATCTGGGTCGTCGCTGAACATAGTGTGAGCTAAAAGCCGGAAGCATACTTCGTTAAGCCACTGATTCCCACTAAATACCAGCAAGTCTTGGAAAAGGCAAGTCTGGCTCACACAAACACAATTAATTTACGAACAGTCTACGATAAAAAGAGCAGTTATGTACCTGTTCTCCAAAATGCATCAGAGCGTTCGGTGAAGTAGTTGATAGCACAGTACAGAATATTCTGGTAGCCATCTAAAGTGCGCCAAGCTACTGAACATGTGTCTAAGCTAGCTAAGCTGTTTTGATCGTTCTGGTCATGTTGGTCTCTTTATCCGTTAGTCTGGACCGTACCGTGTACAACCTCCACCGGAGAGGCGCTGACATCCCGTATCAGGCCTACATCATTGCCACTACAAGGTACCAGCATGGGCGTATACAGCATTCTGCGATACTATAATATGACAATGGGGCCGGGCGCCTTCGTGGTGGATTTACACTTAACCATTACGTGTGGGATCCCGGTCAGCGAAAAAAGCCTAAATCGAAGCGGTCCTTATGCCCAAAAGAGGACCATCCAAATCCTAAAAAACGGAAGGAGGAACGTAATGGGGGTGACCGCGCCAGCCGAAACGAAGAACATATCACTCCTCATGAGTTAGAGCGCACCAGTGGCGCTTGCGACGTATCCCCGCCTGAACACATATCACTGGAATATCTGATGGCGCTCTTTGGCCTGACTGTCAGCGAAAGTTTGAATTTGTACTTGAACGTGGAGGTCAAGGTCATGATGCAAAGCGCAGATATTATCCCGTTCACATCTATCGAGCGCCCTACAGCGACCATTGATGCGGAAAATGTGACTTTTTCTTTTGATAGAGAGTTTACTACGAAAATCCGCGACGCCATTGCTGCATTCCGAGCAATTTCGCATTATACAAACGCAGATGAAACGTAGCGGGGGCCTCCACGGTGGATTTAACTGGCAATTCCGATGATGATACGTACGTGAAAGTGAAACCAGGACATTGGATTTTTCACTCGTCAGCCATCGCAAAAATGGGGGAATTCGTTCAGAAACGGGAGCTGCTGATTAAGGTCGATCAATGTGTGAGGTGGTTTTCTAAAATCGCCTCATAGCCACGAGAAGACGAACGTATCAGACTCTCTCATTAACCTCGTATGTGCGTGAAAGCAACTTGAGCAGAAGAGCCGCTTGCGCTCACCACATGTTATAAAGGCTCACAGGAACATGTAATAAAATGACCCAACATGTGTGCCACAAGCACGTCACAAATGCTCAACGGTGCCGAATTTTAATTGGGGCGAAGCCCCCCCATAATGAAATCACTCTGTTTTATCGCTCTGATTTACTTTCTTTCGATGAATTTATGGATAGAGCTAGGAAAATATTTCATGGTTGCCTCTCCCCGGGGCAAAAATGCTGCATTTTACCGCTGTATAAGATCCTTTCAGGCTCAATGTCCGACGGTTCCGAGTGACTATTCATAGAAGTTCAGGGATTTAGCCTCCAGCAAAGGGTGCGAAAGCCATTAAACTGAGCCCCGTCTGTTAGGAGGCCTCTTCCAAATAGAGCATCGATGGGCTATGGGCCTTCTAAAGTGGATTTGGCTTTAAACTGCGTTATTTTAGCTAAATCGGTACTCTGCTTTGCTGAACTATTGACCCTGTTTTAGCGTCGTATGGCACATAAATCGGGGTAAGTGCACGTGTTGAAGGTCTACTTAGAATAGCTCTGGTCAGTACGTAAACCTGCACCTGGACAAACTTTTGATACTGCCTACTTCATAGAGATATGTTAGAGCTATCGAACGCACTAGCTTGCATCGGCGGAGTGTAAGTAGCCATTCAGCAGGACCTCCGCCTCCTCAGGGACTCCTTCGGGGTGCCCATTTCCAAAGCCATCAGGCCTGGAGGTCATCCCTCCGAGAGAGAAGGCCCCAGGTACTTGACCTGGTGGCGTATATTTAGGCACTTATATCGGAGCCTGCTGGAAGCTGGCACTTTGACGTCCAAGTGAGTTACCCTAAACTATTCCTAGGTAATCGGTTTCCCTTCCTGAGGTCGTGATGAGGCGGCGGTTTGAGGGGATGCGATTGCAGAGGTTAATCGGGAGTTCCATTAGGGAGGTGACTTAGGGGGTTCCAGGGGATGTACAGCGTCGGACAGAATGAAACTGCCACCTTTGGATAACTCGCTAGGAATATAGACGAGGTACAACTGTACAAAGGGTAAACATATTGTACTATTTATTTTATGGTAAATTATAGTTCTAGCCAATTAACATCGACTTTGAGTTTGTGATATTCTAATATCATACAAAATCCAAGATATTACTATACTAAGCAAATCATCCCACTAAATGTTTTAATCAATCATATCATCAAAACTAGAGCGGCTGTTTATTGGGTGTACAGCGGCATGCTCTTCACCATCGCTCAGTGCTGGCAGTTACATTCTGTCTGACGCTGTTGTGATGGAGGTAGTCGGGGGTCGGAAATAGACTTACGTGGCTTTTGTATCGGAATCGCTCCGGGCGAGACTCGAACCCTCAGTGGGACGCTTGATCTTCGTGGGCCTTATCCGCAGGGACACTAGGAGCCCCTCGGAGGTCATCTCTCCTACACTTTAATGGCGCCGTAAAGATAAGGGCGCCCTAGCAATCTGTGCAAAGTCTGTGTACAGAAGTAAATCTTTACACAGATCAGAATAAAGTAATAAGGGATTTGTATTGACGGATAGCAGTGGGACGGGTGCCATGGGGTCGTGTTGAGCTGTTGTGAGGACACGTTGCAAAAGCAAGCAAACCTGCCCAGAGTGCTCGTAAAGCAGGTCTGCGCGATTTTGCGGAGGTAGGTCCTGCACCAGGCATTCCAGCGGATGGACCCGTTGCCGCAACTCGGTGCTAGTTTTCTCATTGAGGGGGTCTGCTCCAGTACACTGTAGCACGGCAGATTCACCCCGTCTTTTTGGCTGAAAGGCGCCGTAGGGATTAAAGGCGCTTTAGGCAGTGTTGTGCGGTCGCATTAAAGGTGCTGTAACGCGAGTCGTAGCATCCAAAGAGAGGTGGAGGCAAAAGTTAGGGGGGGGGGGGCACGCCCCCCCTAACTTTTGCCCCCCTCCTAATCGGGCCTAGTTACACCCCTGGTCCCTGCAGCACGTCACGTGCCCGCGTCTTGCTACAACAGCACTTCGTCTGAGCCGAAGATGGAGCCGCGGTTGCCAGAGGCGCTGCGGCTACCGCGCATGGCTGGGAGGGAGGGGGATCTACGCAGAGTGTTTGTGAGCGTGCTCGCCCTAAGCGTCAGTCGCCCGCCCAAATCCACGCCGTTGCCGCTGCCTCTTCCTCTGTGCGCGTGTGTCCTGCTCCCAGTCTACCAACCGCTGGCCGCATCCGAGAGCGGTCCTGAGGGAGGCGTGTTGAATGCGTGAGCAGCGGCAGGGGGAGCGGTGCACCTGCGGCATGCAGTAGCTGAGCAGCGTGCTTCCGTAGAGTCAAAGTTAGCACCCGTTTTGGACTTTGGAAAGCTCAGACAACAGTCTATATATTCCCCTCCTACCTGAAAACCAGCTGCTTCACTAATGGCGCCCAAGGCGCCATTAACGGTGCTGTTGTGCTGTCGCATTAAAGTGGCCCTAACCACATCGGCATGCTACTGTATAATCCATACTATTTTTTGCCCTAGCCCCGTGCCCCTCCCCCCAAGAAAAAGGGCGGTACCCCCCCTAGAAAAAGGCTCTGGTTGGCAGGGGCTGCAGGCGCCCATCCGTTCGCCACCATGACCCACGGTGATGGCAACCCCTAGAGCAAGGAAACTGAGCAGAGCTCAAGCGGCGGCGTGTCCGCCCACTACGAGCATGTACATGACCCATGCGCGCTGGTTGACAAGCATGATGACGAGCTCGTGATGGCATGGACAAGGACTACACCGGTCACGGCTTCAAGCATGTCATCACGGTAGACCACCCGCACAAGCTCCCCACTATGTATTAATACCTGGACTTCAGTGCCCAACAGGCAGAAGCACAACAGACGCTTCGACACGCAGCCGTCTTCGTGCTTACTGACCCCATATACTGGGACGCAGAGCTGCCCATCGTAATGGGAATCTTTTGCTCGCCGTAGGGGCTGCTGTTCGTGTACACGATAAAGCGTGACAGCAATGGTGAGCGTGAGAACATCCCGTTGTACTCGGCGTGATTAGGCTTCCAGTGAATCGGCAAGTTCCACTTGCCTTGCTACGCTACGGATCGTACCTCGCCGATGGCCACCCACAACGAAAATCGTACTACTCCGCAGTCTGGAGTGTCGATGCAAATAACAGCGGTAAGCATACGTATTATATTGTGGTTGGGCGTAAAATGCCACACAGCAGTCGTATTGTGCTATTGCTATTAAATAGTTTCGTAAATTCAATGACCAACTCTTGTTTTGGTTTCTGCGTTTTGTTGACGATGCTGTGCGGAATCGCGCTGACCGATGCAGAAGCTGATCGACTCGATCGAGCTCTACCTGTGGATCTGCAAACTGGCTACGTGGTGTTCTAAAAAGATATTATTATTAATAATAATAATAATATTAATACTAATAATAATATTGTGAAAACCGGCTAAAAAGCCCATCTGTAGCAAGCAACCCCTTATTAGATCTCAATCAATAAATTAATCAGAGTACAAATCAGGGCTGAAATCGGTCGTGATCTAGATGCATCGCTTGGCTGCGCGATTGCCCAGTAAAAGGTGGGCATTCTGCTCCAAGCGCGGCTATATCGACTTGGCTTCCATAAAACGATCGCCTAATCTGCACATCCACTCACATATGCATCGCAGGACGCGATCGATTTACAAATCGATCAATCTAAATCAGGGTGCTAATCAATCGATTTACGAGCAAAATAGGCTAATGAAGCGGTTATCACAATAATAATAATAATAATAATAATAATAATAATAATAATACTCGTATGCAAAAAGTATTGCTGTCTGCACAGTATAGATCTGTAAGTCTTAGTTATGTGAGCCCCATCACATCTAGACCACGGGCATACTTGCCGTTAGATAAGCAATATTTTATAATCGAGAAACATCTTGAGATGCGTGGTAGAGAGAGAATAGAAATACGTCCCGAAGATTTAAGGTCCATGTTTCTAGAGTCCGTCGAGGACACATGAATTTGCATACCGCGCCCTAAATAAGTGTATCATGCGACCGAAATGATTATCGTCCACGAATCCATCCGAAGCAACGGAAACAAAAAGTGTTGTTGAAATCTGTCACAGAGCATTTCTGCACGCTGCAAAATAAAAGGACAATGATAAACTATCCGATAAGTGTCTTCATGTTGTCCTACTTATTGAAATGTCTTTAGTCTGTGTGGCCGCACTTGTACACATCCGTACTGGACTGCTAAACTAAGAAGGGCACATCAGTAGACAACCAGCTTACGAAGGTGCCTATTAGTTTCCCTAAAACTAAAAACTAGTGTTTCTCACGGTTCGAAGGTTTGTAGGTTGTAGGTATGATTGGTGTTGCTGCAAAGACCGTCCTCGACCTGTAGGTAAAATAGTTTTATCCAATAAGAGAGCTACAAATTTCAATTTTAGCCAGTCAAAAAATACCTACAGCCCTTTTTGATACCTTCAGCCAAAATCGCTGGAGGTAAAACAGGATAAAAGGGGCATCTGAAGGCATCGCTGATTGGCTAGTTTTACCTGCAGGATACATACCTGCGAACCGTGAGAAATACTACTATGTATGTGTACGAAAGTCTCATGTACAGGACTAGTGAAAACCCATCCTAAGCTTTTTACAGAAACTTGTTCGCATGACCAGACCTCTACTAATGCGGGAAAAATCATCTTTCCCTCTTTTTCAGCAAATATGGTCATTTTTGAAGTGCAAAATATGGATGGGATTCACTATTTAGTAAGTTATTGCTTGAAGTAAATGAAGCTAAAGCGAAGCCATACTGCTACTGCACGCCGTATGGAACGAAATGTTAACCACTAAATTGGTTTACGAAGCATTATTCCAGGTTTCACAGCGTTATCTGAGGTCCCATTTGTAAAAAATCGGCCCCAGCAATTGGATCATTAGTCAAAATTACGAAAACTATACATGTAGCACAACAACTTTAGTGCCACTGATATCAGCTCGAAGCTTTTCCGGGTTCGAAGACGATGCCTATCAATTTAGGTTGAAGAGAACTACTGTAAACTGCACTTGGTCGACTCACTGGTAGCGACTGCTCCTACCTGTTGTCGGAAGGTGCACCGACTGCAACAGGATGGCTGCTTCTGCCCCATCGCTCCATTGAAGCCCACCGGTTTTTCCGACTTGTTCACGATGCTCAATACCAGGGACTTCCTGGAGGGCGGCGTGTATGTGTCTAACTCTTAGAGCGTGTTCGCTACGCAGCTGGAGATGGATATCTGCAGGGAGTTGGTGCAGGGAGTTGGTGCATCTCCATCTCCAGCTTGTTCGCTACAACAGAGCGCATCTAGGTAAAATTAGCCAATCACAGTGCAACTGCAACGACTCGCTTTACTTTGCTGTTTCTTCGTCGGCCGAGAACACTGTGCCCGAGACACCGGACGCGTGGCAAGATGGACCAAGCAGCCCCGAGAGCTGCGCCTCCGTTCCCATCAGCCAGTGGCGACCTCGTGCTGACTGCTGCCAGTTTGGACATACCTGCCTCTGATGTTGCTCTTGCCCAGACTGTGTATGCGACACCGGCCACTACTCAAACGGAATCAGAAGAAAAAGACCAATACTGGTGAAACGTCTATCGCTACGAAGCAACCCTCCTTTGCGTGGACGACTGCAGCAGCTGATGCTCTGCTGCGGGCTCGTTTTGACACGTTCAAGCATCGTTTTCAGGGCACCAGAAGCGCGAAACAGCTTGCCGCCGCCTGGATGTTAGTCTCCGCAGAAACGTATCTAGTCTCGGGGCTCGAGGTGAAACCCCACCAGTGCAAGTCAAAGGTAAAGTACAAGGCCATCTATGATAACGTGTAGGATTTCTAATTGATTTTGTAAAAAGTAAAGCGCGGCTGCAACTTTCTTCTCAAAGCTATGCTGCCGTACTTTGGCAGCAGCAAACAGAACACCTTGATCTCGTAGTAAACCAGCAATCCGTAGGAAAGTCGGCTTGGTGCAGCGAAGATTCCAAACCAACTTGCATACGCGGCTGACTGTAGCATGAGGTCACGGTACGAATCTGTTCCTTAGGGCCTTGCGGCGCATCGTCGGATTCTCCTGATAGGAGGACTGCAACCTGTGCGACAGCCGAGCATGTAGCAACCAGTACAGCTTCCTCTTCGTCCATTGTGTGTGCGGCTGAACTGCTTCAATCTCCAGCTACTTTCTCCTTCTCCACCTCTGGGAGCTGGAGAAGGAGACGGGGTAATTCTCCAGTTGTCACGTTGTGAACTAAACTATTTTGACCAATCAAAAGACAAGAAATAGAGTTGATGAGAGGCCATCTCCATCTCCAGCTACCTAGCGATTCGCTAGTAGCGAACACGCTCTTAGAGCGTGCAGAAGAATGCGGAAGGACACGGCAAGCAGCTGTCGATTGATGATCACCCACGAGTAAAGGACGATAACAACCTCAGATTTGTACAACAGCAACCACACCAAACGGGCACGAGCAACCATAGCACGATCGACGATTGGGAAATGAACAGGTCGGTAGCTACATGCAGAGCGACTCGCTCTGGGAAATGGACTGGTCAAAAGCTAGAGCGACTCGCTCTGAGCGAGACAACAATATTATTGAGAGCATGCGCGCGCAGGTACATGTAACACCTGCGCAAGAAATGTAATTAGGATGCCATGGTACTTATATTTATAGGATTTTACTCTTCTTATTTGCTACGTTGGCCGCGCGGATAATACGTTGATGTAGAAGCGCACGGTAGTTTTCGACATTGAATTTGTCGGAGCACAACTTATCCATTGACCCACGTAGCGTATGCGGGCGATCTTTCATAATCGCTGTGGATATCTTTTCGATGAAGTAGAGCAGATAAATTCCACAATCAACAGAGTTTTGCTGCTGAGGCTTGGTAGGGCAGGCGTGAAAACTCCATTTAACCGACCCCACCGAAGCTT